GTCGTCCTAAGAGAATGTGGGATGCTTGCATCGGAATTACATCACACCATACGTCGTCACAATACTTTCCCATCTTGATATTAATGAGGCATTGTTTAACCACCTTCATCTCGGCACTCTCATTAAGCCATTGTAAGCAATATGGTTTCGGATGTCGTTGGCAATGAAGTTTGAGTGATTCAACAACATTGGAGCTAATGACGTTGACACAACTACCATTATCAATGATGATGGAGAATGGTTGTTCCTTGATTAGGCAGCGTGTGTGGAAGATGTTGGAACGTTGCATGTCAGACTCATCGGATGCTTGGATGTTCAATGTATGACGGATCACCAAGATTGTGCCATTGTACTCATCGCTTCCATAGTCATCGCTGTCTTCTTTGGCTTCGGCATGTGCTGGAATGTCGGCAAGGTCGTCATCAGAGTCAGAATTGTAAGATCCATCACCTAGTATGGTTAAGGTCCTCGTGTTTGGACAATTGCGGCTGATATGGCCTCTTCCTAAGCATTTAAAACACTTGATGTCTCTTGCTCGGGTATCGTCTTTAGGGGCTGGGAGTGTCTCATTCTTCGCTGGTCGTTGTTTTTCTTTGTCGAGTTTGTCATCTCTCGACTTTTTTTGAGAAGATGGAGTAGAAGATGAGGAAGGATTTGAAGTATTACCTTGGTAAGAGAATGAAGTACCTTGGTAATGTTCTCTGAATCGGAATCTCCTTTGTATTTGTGCTTCGATTGTCATTGCTTTCTTTAGTGTATCTTCGAGGTTTTCGTACCCATGGAGGTCAAGAAGATCAGTGATGTTTGAGTTTAAGCCAACGACGAATCTTGACATGGTGTCCTCTTCTTCTTCAGTTATGTTAGCCCTATTGAGTAAGGACTGCATCTCCTTGTAGTAATCTTCAACTGAACTTCTACCTTGTCGAAGTCGGTGTAGTCGTTGTTTAACTTCTCGTGTATAATGTGTCGGTAGAAATCGGTTCCTCATGGCATGTTTGAGTTCGGTCCAAGACGTGATTGGTTGAATTTGGTAGTTGTCGATCTTTTTCCTTGTTTGCATCCACCAAGTGTGAGCATATCCTTCGAATTCCAAGGTGATGAGGGGAACTTATTCAGCTTGGGGGCAGTCATGGTATGCGAACAAGAGATCAACTTTTCCTTCCCAATCGATGTACTTGTCTGGGTCGTAGTCTCCTTTAAAAGAGGGGATCGTGAACTTTGGTTTTGCAAAGAGTTCGGGTGTTTGAAAACGTGGTTGTGCTCGCCTGGGGGCCAAAAGTTCAGCATTGTTTGGCCTTGGATTATGGTTTGGTTGATCCAGTTGTAGTTCTTGCCGTTCTCTCAAGGCATTGTTAAGTTGATCAAATTGAGTTGTGAGTCGTTCAAGTGCGGCTAAGATAGCCGTAAGTGTCTCATTGTTATTGTCGCCCATCCTGCAATTATAACACTCAAAAGAAGATTTTAAAGTAGAATAAAATAAAATAAATTTAACAAAGCAAGAAACCTCACAAGTCACTCCAAGAAAGTAACACAACGAGAGGCAAGTAAGCCGATCTTGTACTCTTTAAAACTCACTTTACCAAGTAGTCTTTCACAGTTCGTATCGGAGTTTGATTACTAGCAAAGGCGATAAGAAAAACCTAAAAGCTCTAAGAGGCCAAACAAAGGTTAGACTCCAAGCGAACGAGAATGCAAAGAAGGAAGAAGTATGCAAACTCTTTAGTCCTACTAACACAATGAAGATAATGTGTTAGATAATGTAAAAGAACAATAACAAGGAAAAACAAAAGAACTTAAAGCACTAAGAGTCAAAGAAAAAAAAGAATCAACCCAGAAACCTGGAAAACGCTGGATCAATTTGAGCAACGTTTTTGAGGGGGTTACCGGTGTCAAAAAATTCTGGAAAAATTCTTGAATGTCTTTTGATGCGTTAAGAAACTACCTGTAAAATTTCAGAACCAAATACCTTCAGTAGTATCCAGTAGACTCTGTTGAACGGTGAGTCCTCAAACAATCTGTTTTTCTTGATCGCTTTGTTCGAAGGTGTTGTTGATCTCCAAAAATTCTGATTTTTTGTTTGAATGATCTTAAATATATGAATTTTCAATCTGGAAATTTTCACCACGAAATTCCTCCTGTAAAATTTTCAAGAAATTCGACAAGATTCTAAACCGAATCTGCCGATGAAACTTGAATGATGTATTTGAAGGCTCCAATGAACTCCAATTGGGGTGAAATTTGGACTGGGGATTAATCTTAGAATGAATATGATATATGTATAAAATTAGCCCTAAATACCTTCGTTTGCAATTTTTTTGAAATTTTGGCTTTTTTTGGCTCTTTTTTTTTTTTTGCCGTTTTTTTTTTTTTGCCTTTTTGTTTTTTTTTTGTTTTTTTTTTAAAAAAAATAGCAAACTAACAAGAAGGATTTAAATCTAAATTAAAATTAAATAAAAAGAACCTGAAACGCTGAATCTTTTGTGAACTAGCTCCGTTGGGGTACCTTGACGATTTTGTGTGCAAGAACAAGCAAGATTGCTTGTTTCTTTCCAAGAATTGGCCCAGCTCTGATACCAATTGATAGGGAAGTGGTGGCGGATTGATGAACGTTGCTCTTGTTGAAGAATCAAACCTAGAAAGCTCTAGACTCGATGAAGAACACAGGTGATGAATATGGGAAGGTGGTGGTAGTCGCTAAGATTGTTTAGGGTTTTTTTTATGTGCTGGAATCAAGACAATACGATTAGAATAAAATAAACAAAAGATAAATAAAGGAAAGATGAAATAAGATAATAAAGAAATCAAAAGATCTCCCTTATGAAGGTGAACGGTAAAGATGATTGATGGTGCGGATGGATTTGTGGAAAAATATATGATAAGTGTCCTATCGAGCCCTCCTAGTCGCAATGAAAAGGCAAACACGATAAATGGCTCTAACCAACCCTCCTAGTCGCGATGAAAAGGCAAATTGGAGTGTGAAGATTAATCTCCCTCACAAGAACTTGAAAGAACTCCAGGAGAAGAAGCTTCGAAGGCACAAGGCAATCAGCACTTGCAAAAACAAACTCTTGTTGTATTATTGATCAAAGAAATCTGATTTACAAAGTTGAATGAAGCCTCCTTTATATAGGGGCTGAATTCTAAAGGTTCTAAATAACTAAAGAATAAAATATTAATAAACTAAACATGTTTTAACTCTAATTCCTAATAATAATAACTAAAAATATTTGTTTTAACCCAACCTTAATTCCTAATAAAATAATAAATCTGATCCTAAAAGATAATTAATCATCCTATATTAAATTATATTACAAATAATCAATATAAATATTGAAAATTCGTAATATTTACAAAATAACGTATTAATCCCGTATAGGATTTCCTGCCTGCACCATCTTCAGTAAAATGACCATATTTTGAGTTCCCGATATCGGATTGATTCGATTCAAGAACCGTTGGAAAGATAAGAGACAGACGGTTGTATTTCCAGAAGACATGTCGACCGGATAACAACTGGATCCCCTTCAAAAAGTTGTTTTAAATCTGCTGCTATTAGACCCTTCCGGATGAATGCTTGAACTGCGATTTGAAGCTTGTCTTTAAGAAGTTTGGTCCGGCCTCGTGTGATAGGGCCAAGTGGTATAGTAAATTCATCATCCTTAGCTTTAGGGCATGTGGTGCATGTATCATTAAGTCATGGAGAAATGGAGCTGGACAGGATCACATCATCTTCCCCTTCTTTTGGGCGATTTTTCCTCAAATCGAAACTCTTCGCCATTGATTGATTCTTTCGTGGAGGAATGAATGAATGTACTCCATGTAGAACACTCAACTCCATTTGTTCAGCTTCTCCCCTTGCATAAGAACATGTTTCTTGGTTGAAGTCATCACGTCGCTTGGTGAAGGTAAGTGTTCCTCGAATGACTCCTTGGGGCTGAGCATCATGTCCTTTCACTCTTGTGTCTCTCCAAATGATTGCCTTGAAGGTTGGTATGATTTCTCCACCATAAGGATGAAACAAGTTGCAAGGTGGATGTTTAATGGGTGTTGGTTGCTCGATGATGGAAAACTCCATTGGTTGCTGAATTCTCTTCAAATGTTGTAATGTACTTGGAATCTCAATGATCACAACTTTTGGCTCTTCAAGTGATGTTTCTTTGAATCCTTAAAGTTGGTAAGTCAAGCCAACTTTAGTCTTTCCACCCTCCCACATTATGAATCTTAAATAGTTGGATAATACTCGTTTCTTTTTCTTGAATCGATGATCATAAGCAAGATCACTTCCATGTAAATGATTCAATGTACTGTAAAATAGATATAAGTTAGAACATGAATCATCATTAACAATGTGAATGAATGTAAAAGATTCATTAAGGTTCATGAATGGAATTTGGTTCGTTGAAACTTCCCTTTCATGAGGTTCTTTGAGTGAATGGAGTATATTTGGAATGCCAATAAATACATCTCTTGGAATTTTAAGAGATTCAACCTTTGAAACTTCAAGTGTCACTCCTTTTTGAACTTCAATGGACTAGCTTCTTGAAACATCATTTTGCGAAGGTATGACTCTTGGAACATCCTGTAAATCAAGAGAATAAGTAGGAAGAACATATTGGTTAGTAGAAAACAAATTTTCCAACTCTTCACTTTCTTTCCCTCACTTTCATGCTTTTCTCGAACTATCTCATCAATACCACACTCTTGTTTTTCAATGTGCTCATTTTCACTCTTAATTTTCTTTTCAATGTTTTCAATGTCTTTTTTAACTCTCATTTCTTCTTCTTTTTTGCAAACACTTTCTTTTTGTAGTTGTTCTTGCAATTGTGTTTCTTTGACGAAATTGTCAACACACTCTTGAAAACGAGCTAGACTTTCTGGATTAAAAGACGCAAAATTCCTTGGCTCTCTTCTCGTTGAACTTTTGACATTGCTTTTTGTTAGAAAATTGGGGTCCTCCTGGTAAGATCTTCTACTAAAATTGGGTGTAGAACTAGAAAGGATTGAGTGTTGTCTCTCGTTTTTAGTTGTGTATTGATCTTCGTTGGACGTGTTTGTGAACATGAACGTCGTTCTATAATTTGGTCCAATTTTCTTGAGATTGGGTCGAGATGCTTTCGAACCAAACTCCTTATCTCTTGTGTCATGGCTTGTATTTCCAAGTTTGGTGCATGACCATCGTCACCTCCTGAAATATGAGAATTGTCTCTAGAAGTACAAGACATTATTAGTAATAAAAAAATGAAAAATAGATCTCACGATTCACTCCAAAAAAAATTAAAATGTCACTCAACACTCGTGTTTACACTCGGGAGAAACTTTTAATGGCTCTTTCTGTCTCCCCTTCTAATCTCACACGCTCAATGTGACTTTTCCACTCGTTCCCTCGTAGTCAGTTCTTTTACGAACTAAATTCGACTTTTCAAAATCTGTCAAGTGTGTCGGCTATAGGAAACAAAGGTTAATGGAAACTAGAAAATAATGAAAGGAAGGTTAAAAATTCAAAGGACAAAGAAAGAAAGAAAGATAAAAGTAATTAGTAAGCTTACTACAAAGAAATACTTACAACGAGACTGTCACCAATACAATCAAAGCTGCTGCGTTTTGGGTTGAATCAAAGCTCAAAGTAATTCAATATTTAAGAACACAACATCATAGCATTTCTCTTCATCTCAAGACCAGAACTTTCTTTTCTTTTCTTTTTTTAATTTTCGGAATCTGTTTTTTTTAATTTTCGGAATTTTTTTTCAGGATGAATTTCTTCCTTGGTTCACCTTTGCTCTGATTACCATATGATACGAATCATATCTGCCTTATCGAATGATTGTGGATCTAGGAAGGAAGCAAAAACAACCTGCATAAGAAAAGGGTAAGAAATGGATAATTTAAGTGGTAAATGTGATGGTAAACGGTCGGATAAGAGATGTTTGTTTGGGATATTATTATTATTATTACTATATTATTTTACTATTAATAATAATATTAACGTTATTTATGTTATCATTTTGCAGGCCAAGGTACACCGAGCACAAATCAGGCCCCAAATTACAAACAGTGCACGTCATCCATATTGATCGCCAGTGAACATGTTACAAGCATATTTGGATGAGGAAGTCTTCTTAACATTTAATCCTCTATCTCTTACCTTTCCAACGCACTTTGAATCACATCAATCCGATATCAGTAGCTCAAGATATGATCAGATAACCGAAGACTGTGCAGGCTGGAAAATCAATACGAGATTTAAGAATTTTCAGCAGACCTTTGCTCACTTGCACAATAAGACACGTTGGAACAGCACTTGGGAACACTTGGGAGTGTCTAAACCAGCTGAAATTAGACATAAAACAGCTCATACTTGTTGACCAGCCACCACTCACGCATGATTAGAGGGAAATCATACACATCAAATTCCACTCATGTTCCTCTCACCCTCAAATGCTGCCCATGCGTGTAGTTTGCACAAACCCTTGCTTATACCATCTATTTTTATTCCCACATGAAGAGAATATTACTCCACTACCTATATTTAATAAGGTATTGGATATAGCATTAAGAAGAAAGGGGGAGCAAATGAACGTGGGGAGAATGGTTGGTTTAATGAATTATAATTTTGCAATTTAAAAAAAGGAGCTAATCACTCACGAGGGGGGGGAAGGGAGGATAGACTTGTTCAGCATCTATTCTTAAAGAGAGGACATCCTATAGAGGAAAGGGGTCGGCAATTAAAAGAGTGGGGAAGGAGGTTCAAGAGGAGAAAAAAAGTATCAAAGAGGAGAGCAAGCAGAGACCACGGGGAGGAAGCAAAATTATCAAGAGCAAAGGGTATTCAAGGATAAAAGCGAGAAAAATTTGTAAAGGGCTTTCGATCTTTACCCTTTTTTTTGTTGAACTAAAGCAATTAATGTAAGTGATTCCCTGTTTTAGATAGGCTTCATTTTCGTCCTTAAATTGACGTTTTCGTACTTCTGATTTTGTCTCCATGTTCTACCTATATTTAATTTTAATCCTGAGTGGTAATGTACTTGGTGTCGTTTCTTTAGACATTTGAACCTCATGTTGTTGCATATTTCATTTTAGTCCTGGAATTCACTTGCTTTGATATTTTATTTGTTTATACATTTGATATGTTTCTTTTGAAGATTACAGTTTAGTCCTGCATACATTTGTGGGTTTATTTCGATTTTAGTACATGAAATATGATCATTATTGTTCTATGATTTGATCTTTGTATAATCTATGATTTTAGCCTTAGAGTTTTGTGTTTATTCATTTAAGTCATTATGTCGTTTTTTTATATTTTCATGATAACATGTAAACATTATGTATAATTTAATTATTAATGTTAATATGGTCATTTGCTTGCGTATATATGCATATAATAAGTAATATAAGATAACTTTGTGTCTTGCTTCATTTTATTTAATATGTCGAATAAATTAGTGTTGTAAATATTGGTATTTACCTTCTATTAGGATGCATATAAGTTTTGGCATATTCATATCATTTACTTAATAAATACTATAGCATAATATGTATGATACTCTCATTTGCATATCTCGACCATACGACATAATTTGACTAAGGGTAATACCCTTTTAATTTAAATTCATTTAAGTGGGCTTGTCTTAACTATTAGAGGTCCGCTTCTAACACTTTTAAATTAACAGTGTATCCCATCAATGACACCTAAGAAATTGATTTATTACTTTAAAATTTGGGAACGGAAGATAAAGAAATGTTCGGCTATTTAAATTTATCGAGAAAAGATAGTTAGAACTTATCTAAGATCTGGTCTCGATATTTGTAAATAATCGAATATTCTTTATCTTTCTAAAGGCCTGGTAATTTTAATTTAATCTATTTTGGTGCTTTTGATAGTTGTAAAATTCATGTGTTGTTTTGTCGGGGATCATAAACTAAATTAAAATCGAATTTGTAAATTTCATTGCAAAGACATTAATTAATCGACGAGGTACCGATTTAGGGCGCTGTGGGGGTGCTAATCCTTCCCCACGCGTAACCGACTCCTGAACTCATTTTCTGGTAACGCAAACCTAAATTTGTTGTTTTAATTAAAATTAAAATTTTATTTAAAATGACAATATTTTTAGGTGTCCAATCATACCCTAATCAAAGATTGGTGGCGACTCTTCGAACCCGTATTTTTATCGTGAATGAATTCCCAAATTTTCGAAACGAGAGGTTTTCTAAAATCACATTATTTTTAATTAAAAATTAATTATAAAGGGAATAATTAAAAATGACGCGGTTTTCCAAATCTCGCTTCCCATCGGTTTAAAAATCGTTTCGACAGCTTGGCGACTCCGCTGGGGACTTTTTGAGAGTCAGGCCTATAGTCGATTAATTAATTGTCTTTGCAAATGAAAGTTAGAAATTCTTTTTAATTTGGTTTTTGATCCCCTATTTGGTTTTAATGTGTTTGTTCGGAATTTGATTAACCAATAAATAGTTGTACTGATCTGTTTGTTAATGGTTTCAGATTAATTACGTGTTTAAAGAAGTTTGATCTTTTGAGTGTTTAAGTGAATATGTGTTATTTTATTTTCGCTTTTCCTCACACACTGCATAGTTGCATTTGCATAACATGAGCTAAAACCCCGCTCTGTCCTATTTAAGTAGGAGTGAGAGACTACTCCCTCGTGTGGTTTTCACCTCCGCATGGGATAGTGGATCGCTCCTGGAGCTCACGCCTTATGGTCCTCGTGATGGTATTCACCTCCGCATGGGCATAAGGAGGTGTGTTCCCTCGAAGTTGAACTCGATCCCTAAAGCCTATGATAGGCCAAGATTAAGGGTTCGACAGCCCAAGGGGGCACCGACAAGGACAATTCGAGAACCTAATACTTTAGAACCGAACCCAACATGTAGTGAACATAGAGCCTGAACTTAGGTCAAGCCAAACCCGAACCTTAAGAGATTCGTGAGGAGTGTACACAAGGAAAAGCCGTTTGGGTCATTTATTTTCATTTTTGTGAATAAATGCATGCAAACTATAAATCATGTGGTTAGGATTATTTTCTCGAACAAGCATGCGAATTAGATATCATGCGGTTAGGATTATTTGCAAATAACAAAAGCATGGGGGTAGATATCATGTCGGGTAGGATTTACTAAGCATGATTGGGTAGTCAGCATATGAGGGTAGGTTTTATTTGTTACGATACTCATCATTTTGTTGTTTATATTATGTGTACTAACCCATTTTGGTTTTATGTCTATTTTATTTTGAATTTATTGCATTTTGCATATTCATTTCATCCAAAGGTGTTAATTCGCAAGTGATTGACTAATAAGAAGGCTGGTCATAATGAGGCAAGAAATTCTTAACCATGTAGTCAAAATCGGGTGATCCTAAGACGTTCAGATGATTCATGAAGAATGACATCGGATGAATGAAGAAATCTAAAACTGATTAAAAGACCAATCTATGAAGAAAAACATCCGATGAATGAAGTTTTGAAGTTGATCGAAGACCTCTTTCAATGGGGCGAAGACCAAAGATGTTCCAGGAGATAGATGTAGTAATGCCAAGGACGAGAAGACTCTTCACAAAGACATAAAGACCACTTTGCATTGAAAGTAAAGAGAAGATCCAAGATTCAATTTAAGGACGTCTGACATCATCAAAGGTGATAAAATACGCCGACAACTGAGGGGTGCAATGTTAGATTCCACGAAGAGTACGATTCATGGAAATAAAGAAATAAAGAATCATAATTGTATTTTGACTACATGGTGTAATGAAATCTTGTTGTCTAAATGAAGGTTGTTCTATAGTGGTCACTTTTGGAATTAACACCTTTGGCATTTGCATTTGGCATCCACATTTGCATTCGCATTGCTTTAATTTAAGCATTTTTACATGCGTCAATCATGAAAACGTGAGAGTAACTCATGAAAGATATTGTGATAAAAGCTTTGAAAGATAATTAAAGTTACCCGGGGTGTGTTTTTTGGAAAGATAAAGAACAATGAATGAGATATTAGCGCATATTGATAGGATCGAGAGAATTCATGAGTAAAAGTTGGAAAAGGGTTAGGAAGTCAATTGCAAGGATTGGTTAATCCAATTTACCCTATTACTAAAAGTGACAGGTTTGGTTTAGGGTATCAGTCAACTTTGAAGAAAAAACTAAAGGGCATCAAGAAGAGTCAGGAATTGAGAAAGATAAGATTTACTAGTGAAAAAATCGAGCTGGGAACCCACGACCTTCCCTCCATTAAGAAGCACTTTCATATCAGGAGGGCATATGTTTCAAAGGACTTCGAGAAGTGGTAAAGTGATAATTGAGAATGCCTTGGAGGATTTAGACATTAATGTTATAACCGATGAGGGGTTCGAAGAAATGAGAGCTATGGGCATTTACCATGCGCCACCGGGCTTTGTGTTGAACAACTGGACTGCGGAGGAACTGGCTGTAGTTTACAAATCTCTTGCAGAGTAATACACTAGAACTCTTCCCTATTGTTCATACCCTGGGGCAATAGGTGATCTGATGTAAAAGGTTAAGCTGTGTGTTTTTACTTGCTTTCAATAAAGGATGCATTCCATTGGTCCAAAATGG